GCGCGTGTGTGTGTGTGTGTGTGTGTGTGTGTGTGTGTGTGTGTGTGTGTGACAGGGTTTCTCTGTGTAGTTTTGGTGCCTATCCTGGGTCTCACTCTGTAGACCAGGCTGGTCTTGAACTCACAGAGATCTGCCTGGCCCCCCAGCTAGTCTTTATACATTCTTACCCTGTGTGTGTGTGTGTGTGTGTGTGTGTGTGTGTGTGTGTGTTTTGCTGGGATGAACTCATCGAAGATATAAGACAGCTTTTGGGAGTCAGTTCTCGCCTTTTACCATGTGGGTACCAGGGATCAAATTCAGATGTCAAGCTTGGCAAGAGTCTTTATCCTGTGAGCAGCCCCGCCTTTTCTTTTAGCCTTTTTTCTCTACTTTTGTTTTTACTTTTAAAGATTTTTGTTTGTTTGGTGTTTTAAGACAGGGTTTCTTTTTTTTTTTTTTTTTCTTTTTTCTTTTTTTGGTTTTTCGAGACAGGGTTTCTCTGTAGTTTTGTGCCTTTCCTGGAACTCACTTTGTAGACTAGGCTGGCCTCGAACTCACAGAGATCCACCTGCCTCTGCCTCCCAAGTGCTGGGATTAAAGGCATGTGCAACCACTACCCTGCTGGTTTATTTATTTTTCAATTAAAAGATTTGTTTATTTTTAATTTTATGTGTATGGGTGTTTTGCCCACATGAATATCTGTGCACCATGTGCATGCAGTGCCCAAGGAGGCGAGAAGTATGGATGGTTGTGAAACAGCATGTGGGTGCTGGGAACAAAATCCAGGTCCTCTGCAAGGGCTGTTAGTGCTCTTAACTGCTGAGCCATCTCTCCAGCCTATCTACTTTTGTTTTTTCTACTTTCATTTTACTAATTTTTTTTATTTGTTTGTTTATTTTGAGACAGGGTTTCTCTGTGTAGTTTGGTGCCTGTCCTGGATCTTACTCTGTAGACCAGGCTGGCCTCGAACTCACAGAAATCCTCCTGGCTCTGCCTCCTGAGTGCTGGGATTAAAGGCGTGCACCACCGCCTGGCCTTAAAATTCTTTTCAAATGAGTCAGTCACCACCCAACCCCCCACTCTCCCCAAAAAATTAGTTTTGGAGCTGGAGAGACAGACGTTCAGTGGTTAAGGGCCCTGGCTGTTTTTCCAGAGGACCCCGGATTTGTTTCCTACCAGTGACATGTTGACTCACCACTGTCTGTACCTCCAGTTCTGGGGGCATCTGATGCCCTCTTCTGGCCTCCACAGCTACTGCATGTACACAGACAAGCAGGCAAAACACGCACACACATAAAATAAGTAAAATCTTAAAAAAAATCTATCTATCTATCTATCTATCTATCTATCTATCTATCTATCTATCTAACTTTCTATGATTTATCTGTCTATCATCTGTCTGTCTATCTATCTATCTATCTATCTATCTATCTATCTATCTATCTATCTATCTATCTCTCTATAGACATAGTCTTTGTACATGGCCATGGCTGTCCTGGAACTCACAATGTAGACCAGGCTGGCCTCCTGATTGGTGCAATTAAAGGGATGTGACTCAACACCCAGCTAGTGCACACCTTTAGTTCCAGTATACAGGTGAGTCTCTGTGAGTTCGAGGCTAGTCTGGTGTATGTAGCAAGTCCAGGCCAACTAAGGCTAAATAAGAAGACCTTATCAAAAGCAAAAAACTCAACAAGTAATTCAGTCTCTTTTTTTTTTTTTTTACCAATTCTGATAAAAACTGACCACTAACTCATCATGTGTTAATTGTTCTTACCTAGTCGATTTCCCTAAAATCAAGATCTACACGCCAAAAATTTTGTCACAGTCAAATCTTCTTGGGACACTGAGCTGACATGGAACTCCCAGTCCTACTGCCTCAGCCTGAATGTTGCCATTGCAGTCACGAGCTACTATACCCAGGCTCAAACTTTATTTTTTCTTATATAGCTTTGCCAGATGGGCTGGGGATGTAGCTTAGTTGTGTGTTTGCCTAGCATGCACAAAGCCCTGGGTTCCATCCCCAGCACCACATTAAAAACAACAACAAAACCCAAAACAGCAACAACAACAAAACCTGTGGCTGTGGTGTGAGGCTGATAGATAGTGGAGTGGAGGCCAGCCAGGGTTTCATGGGACCCTGTCTTGAGAAAAAAAAAAAGCTTTGGCCAAGCTGGGTTTGCTTGATGTATTTTTTTTTCCTACTGTGTATCAGTTTTTGGAGGGTCAGTTTCTTCTAGAAATTTTGCCTGCAAGTAATTAGGAAGATGAGATATTCCTATTCTCTCTCTCTCTCTCTCTCTCTCTCTCTCTCTCTCTCTCTCTCTCTCTCTCTGTCATATATTATATATAATGTGCATGTATATCGGTATATATATTAGAGAGGGGGAGGAGAAGCCGAAGGGATGTTAGAAGAGCAGAAAGGATGAGAAAAGGAGTGAAGAAGGACAAAGGGGAAAGGGATCTCTGGATAAATGGTGGCTCTTTATTCCACCAAAGGGACACCACTACACTATACCATGTATTCTTCCTTTCCCAGACCTGGTCTCCAAAACAGGGCCTTTTCTGAGTACATGCTTATGTCCCAGGCACTGTGCAGGTGACTTCCTGCCTTGTCCAATCCTCATTCCAGTCCTGCAGGGTAGCTCTTGCTTTGTTCCTTTTCCATATGGGGAAACTGAGGCTTGGAGAGGTGACAAAGCCTGGTCAAGGTTACATGGTGGTGGTCTCATGGGGAGTACCCAAAGTCTCCCCTCCACCCTGACAGGGTCTTGCTATATAGCTTATGATAGCTTTGAACTTTCGAGCCTCCTATTTCAGCCTCTGGAAGACTGGGATTGTAGGTATTGTATACTATCACACCCAGCACATGCACACTCTCTCTCTTTCTGTAGTGCTAGAGATGAAACCCAGGGCCTCCTAAATGTTAGGCAAATGCTCTGTCACTGAGCTGTATCCCCAACATCAACCTCAACCTCAGCTTTCCCTGCCTCCCATCTTCTTCCCTATTGATTGATTGATTTGGTTTTTCAAGACAGGGCTTCTCTGTGTAGCCATGGCTGTCCTGGAACTCTCTCTGTAGACCAGACTGGCTTCAAATTTAGAGATCCACCTGCCTCTGCCTCCCTAGTGCTGGGATTAAAGGTGTGTGCCACCATCACCTGGCTCCCTTTTTATTTTCTTATACTTTTATATTTCACCCTTTAAAATGTGTGTGTGTGTATGTCGTCTTTGTGTGTGCGTGTCTTTGTGTGTGTACGTGTGCTTGTGTCTGTGTGTGAGACAGTGTGGTACAGCAGTCTCATGGTGCATATGTGGAGGTCAGAGGAGGACATGTTTGTACAGTTTTCTCCATCCACCTTTATGTGAGTTCTGGGGATTGACCCAGAACATTTTCTCTCTCATGCACACTCACCGACTCTGGGTTCTTAACAAAGACCTTGGTACTCCCCATCTGGTACTGGTCTGGCTCCATGTTGACAGCACGAAGCAGGTGCTGGACACCCTGGCGTTCATCTCCACGCCACCGTGGCCATGTCTCAGGGGTCAGAATGGCATACCTGGAGGCAGAGGGTATGAAGGTGTGGGGGATTTGGAGCAGGCCTGTTGGTTGGACATTTCAGTAGGTGAGGCAGTCAAGGCAGGGAAGATGGGTGCCTCACCTCTGCAAGAACTTGGAGAACTGTCGACGGTAGGCAAAGCCTGCCCTTCGCACCCGGATGTTCTCTCTCAGGCCCAAGTACTCCACCTGGTGCTTCACCCTGTGTGAGTGAGGTGGCCTAAGTCCCAGAGAGTGGGAGCTGCCCAGAGCAGACTTGGGCCATGGGGCCTAGATTTGTGGTAGGTGCATCTCATGGGCTGGTCTGTCTGTCTGTCTATCTGCCTGCCTGTCTGTCTGTCTCTCATCTCATGGATTGGTCTGTCTGTTTCTCTTTCTCATCTATAATTCTATCATCTATCCATCCTTCTATCTATATCTATCAATCATCTATCTATCTATCTATCTATCTATCTATCTATCTATCTATCTATCTATCTATCTATCTATCATCTATCTCTATCTGTCATCAGCCTATATATGACCTATCTATGGCCTACATATCTATCTGTCTGTCTGTCTATGGCCAGTATCTCTCTTTGCAGCCTAGGTTTCCCTTGAATATGTGATCCTCCAGCCTCTACCTCCAAGGCTGAGAATAAACATGTGAGCCACCATGCCTAGCTCGGATGTGGTTTAGATGGTGAGTTTTGAGGTCTAAGAGGTTTCTTAGCTTAGTTTGGGAACCAAATCTTGGACTAAGACCTGAGGGAGAGGTCTGGGCTCATCTCGGAGGTTGGTTCTAGGATCAGTTCTGGGTCTGAGAAATTGGGTTTGAGTTCTCTCACAGCCAGTCTAGGTTTACCTGGGGATTGGGGAGGTGCCTCCATCAGTTCTATCTATAACTTTGGGGCTCCAGAGGTTTTACAATTTTAAAGTTTATTTTTGTTGGTGTGTGTGTGTGTGTGTGTGTGCACATGGCAGTTAGAGGGCAACTTGCAGGTGTTGGTTCATTCCTTCCACTTCGTGGAGCTCAGGATTAAACCCAGATTATCAAGTTGGCAGCAAACATCTTTACCTGCTGGGCTGTCTCACTGACCCCTTAGAGGATTTTGAGGTGGTCTTAGAGTCCAGCCTGGAGTGGTCCTAAAGTTGGTACTTTGTCTGTGAGTCAAATGTAAGTGGCTGGTCCAAGGGGTGCATAGATCTGGTGTGTAATGTGAAGGGGTGGTCAGTTCACCTGCTCTCTTCCCAGTCCCGGGGCCGCTTGGTCTCATTGGGTTTGATGCAGCGGATATAGTGGGGTGTGCACTTCTTTAGCGTAGACACCAGGTCATTGGCTTGTTTCTGAGGCAGAGGAAAGGGCAGGGGTGAGGAAGGCTTGAGGATGGGTCCCCTGGCTCTCCCCATTCAAGAAACAGACTCGTCCAAGATGGGGGAGCCTGACTGGGCAGCCACAAGTGTGTATACCTCTCTAAGCTCCCACCATGAGGGCTGATATTGTGCATCTACCCAGCTCTTAAACCCCAAACTTGGGAGTCCTCGTGTCTGCTACACTTACCACATAGCTTAACACATAGTAAGTATTTAGAAGATGTTTGATGACTGAGTAATAGAAAAACTAGAACAACTACCGCCCAGACTTCCTGCCTGTCTTCAAGGGGACAGCGACTTTGGAAATAAGGAACTTGAATGTGCGGGTGGGGGGGGGGCTCAGTCTTGGGTTCTTAGGTAATGCATTTTAGTCATTTGGGGAAAGCTGTGGGGCCAAGTGGGAAGACTAGGGAAGTGACATGAGATATTCAGGTTCAAATTCTGCTGTGTGACCTACGGCTGCCCCTTTCTGATCTGTGGCATCTCCATCTGCCAAGTGGGACTGCGTTAATTTCTTGTATGTGTGAGGATCCTGCATTGGCTACCATCACAAAGTCCTCAAAAATGATTGTGAATGTGGGCTTAGGATTCGACCCCATGCTCACTGCAGCATTATTCACCCTCAGCAGCTGAGAAGGTGGATCCAGCTCTTCTGCACAGTGAATGAAAAAAATGAATGTAACATGGTACATCCACACAGTGGGATAATATTCAGCCTTAAGAAGGAAGGACTTTCTGACACAAACTCCAGCATGGATAGGCCCTGAGTACATTATGTGAGTAATGTTAGCCAGAAACGCTCTAGGTGATGCCACTCACAAGAAGTCCTTAGACCCACCAGATCTTTTTTTTTTTCCTTTTTTTTTTTTTAAAGATATATTTATTTGTTATGTATACAATGTTCTGTCTGCACGTATGCCTGCAGGCCAGAAGAGGGCACCAGATCTCATTACAGATGGTTGTGAGCCACCATGTGGTTGCTGGGAATTGAACTCAGGACCTCTGGAAGAGCAGTCAGTGCTCTTAACCTCTGAGCCATCTCTCCAGCCCAACCCACCAGATCTTTATGGACAGAAACTAGGATGATAGGAGCCTGGGGTTAGGAATTTGGTTGTGAATGGGGACAGAGTTTGAATTTGGAAAGATGAGAAAGTTTGGAGATGGCTGATGGGGATGGCTGTGAACATAGTCAGTGTCACTGAACTGCACACTTAAAATGGGTGAGATAGCTGTTCTAATATATATATATATGTATGTATGTATATGTATATATATGTATGTATATGTATATATGTATATATATATATGTATTTACATCTTTTAAAAGAAGTGATGTGGGAAGTATAACCCAAGCATAGCATGCATACTTAGCATGTGCAAGACCTGGGTTCTGTCTCCAAGCACAGGAAGGAAGGGAGGGAGAAAGGAAAGTTGGAGGGACAGAAAGAGAGAAAGGAGGGGGGAAAGAGCCTTAGATAAGGGTGGGGAAGGAAAGGTGGGAGGAAGGGGAGAGGGAGGGAGGGGGAGAGGGAAGAAGGGAAAGAGATGGGAAGTGAAGGAAAGAGGGAGAGGAGGGATGAAGACAGGGAGAGAAAGGGGGAGAGGGAAATGAAGGGAGTAAAGGAAGGAAAGACAGATGGACCAAACATTGTTCAATCTTTCTCCCAAAACCCAGAGCTGAAGGAAGACCCTATAGGCCAGAGGGTGCCAGAGACATTGAAAACCCAAACAGTAGGGAACAGATGTTGAAACAAGGAGAGAAAGAGTCTGGACTTGCCTTTCCTGTCCCTTCCCACCACCAGGCCCACCTTGATCTTGGATCCAGCAGTACTGGGGCGGCCTTTCTTGTCTACATCCAGCTTCTCAGGAAAAAGCATCCGTAGGAAGGCCCTAGGCAGGAGAAAGGAGTGCATGGGAATGCAGACAGACTCTGGGGCATCCTCCTTCTTCCCCCAGAGTTGGAGGTGCTATGGAACAATCTTTGTACACTGTAAATATGCATTGCTCTCATTCTTAATAAAAAGCTGATTGGCCAATAGCTGGACAGGAAGAGATTGGCTGAGACAACCTGGCATAGAGAGAATGCTGAGAGGAAGAAGGACCAGTCAGAGGAGTCACCAGCCAGCCAGAGAGTAAGCAAGACATGCCGGAGAGGTAAGTGTCATGAACCTTGGGGCATCATATAGATTAATAGAAATGGGTTAATTTATTTGTAAGAGCTAGTTAGTAATAAGCCTGAGCTATCAGCTGAGCATTAATAATTTATATTGTCTCTTGTGGTTATTTGGGAGCAAGTGCTGGAATACAGAAAAGCTCCACCTACATGTAGGGGCTGCCTCAGTGACAAGATGCAAATAGGGTTCTCCCTGGATGTGGGCATGGACTATGAGGTTGGCACTGTCTCTCAGGTCTCTGGATTTATCTGCACTTTTTAGTCTTACTCCATGATAATAGCAATCTTTTTTTTAAAGTTTTTTTTCGTCTTTTTTGAAGTTTCGTCTTTTTTTTTTTTTTTTTTAAGATTCATTTATTTATTACGTATACAGTGTTCTGTTTGCATGTGTCCCTATAGGCCAGAAGAGGGAGCCAGATCTCATTACAGATGGTTGCCAGCCACCATGTGGGTGCTGGGAATTGAACTCAGGACCTCTGGAAGAACAGCCAGTGTTCTTAACCTCTGAGCCATCTCTCCAGCCCAGTAATAGCAATCTTACAGTATGTTAAATACAACAGAAACATGTGCAGCTGTGGGGGTGCACACCTGTCATCCCAGCACTTAGGTGGATACAGGAGAAGTTCAAGTTCATCCTTAGCTACATAGTGGGTTCAAGGCCAGCTTGGGCTATGTGAGACTTTTTTTTTTCTCTGACAGGATCTTTCTACATAGCCCTGGCTCTCTTCTGTCCTGGAACTCACTATACAGACTAGACTGGCGTTGAACTCACAGAAATCTGTTTGCCTTTGCTCCCGAGTGCTGGGATTAAAAGCGTGCACCACCATGCAAGCATGAGAGAGAACCCTGTCTTAAAACAACAGCTGGGATACAGCTTAGTTGGTAGGTGGTTGCCTTGCATGAACACAGACTGGGTTCTGTTTTCAGCACCACATATACCAAGCACAGCCGTGTATGCCAATAGTCTGAGTACTGAGGTTGAATGATTAGAAGTTCAAGGTCACTCTTGGTTACATAGTGAGTTTGAGTTCAGCCAAGGCTACATAAGATCCACCCAAATAAATAAACAAATAGAAAAATATATCAATTGGAAAAGTGTCTTGGGCAACAGAGGCATGTCTCCTTTAAGAAGCCATCCTACAGGTACACATTTGCATATGATGTATGCAAAAAATGTGCAGAGCAGCTAGGAGTAGTGGTGGATGCCTTTAATTCAGCCTCCTTTGGCAGATAGATCTCTAAGAGTTTGAGAACAACCTGGTCTATATAGCAAGTTCCAGGCCAGCCAGAGACACGTAGCAATACCTTGTCTCAACAAAACAAAACAAAAACAAAAACAAACACAAAACCACCCCCTAAAAAATGTGCACAGGGTCTGGGGAGCTGGGTCACTTGATAAAGTGTTTGCTATGTAAACATGAAGAACTGAGTTCAAGCCCCAGAACCCATGTCCTGTTCTGAGACGAGTGCATGCTGATTCAAGAACCTTACCTGCATGCCTCCCTTTTTGCCTATTGATTTATTTATACAAGGTTTTTGTGTGAGTGTAGGTGCATTTGGGTGGAGGTCAAAGGACAACCTTTGAATGTTCCTTGCCTTTTCAACTTGAGATAGTCTCTTCATAAGCCAGGCTTATGAAGTTGGGAGATTCTGGGGTCTTCACTTACCATTTCCCCATAGGTCTGTTTGCCTACAGATGTTTGCTTATGTCAGTATGTCCAGCTTACGTGGAATCTGGGGATCCAAATTCAGGGCTGAACTGTCCGTCAGGCTTGTGCAGCAAGTGCTTTGCCTACTGAGCTCTCTCCCCTGTCCTGTTTATATGTCATGTAGCTTAAGCTCAAACTCAATATATGGCTGAGGAGACCTTGAGTTCCCAGGCTTTGACCTCTACCCTGTAAGTGCTGGGATGATGGGTGTATGACATCACATCTGGTTTTCTGTGGTACTGGGGATGGAATCAAGGACTTCCTGTATTTTAGGCATGAAATCTACCAACTGAGCTACACCCCAAGGCCCTCTCCTTTTGAGGCAGGGTCTCGTGGAGCCCAGGATGGCCCTGAACTCACCTCCTACCTCCCACCTCCACCTCCTGAGTGTACAGCTATGTCTAGTTTATACAGTACTGGGGAGGGAACCCAGGGCTTGCCTAGCATACCATCTGATCTATGTCCCCAGACCTGTAATGTGTTTTCACTTTGCTTAAAGGGCAACTATCCAACCACTGGACTGTTGGGATTGCAGGGAGGCACTATGGGTGAGACATGAAGGGAACTGAGCTCAGGGGCTTCTCCTGGGGAGGGACCCAGAGTCAGTAGATCAGGGTTTGGGAATTGCTTTTCTTTTTCTGTTCTAGAACTGGAATGCAAGCCCCCACACTCTAGGGGGGCACTCATCACTGAGTTATACCCTCAGCCTTCAGAGTTTTAGATCAGAGCTGTGTCTTAGCCATGGTCACAAAGTCCATAGCACACCAAGTTATGGAGAAGACATAGGAGTTCTGCCCAGAGGCTGCACAAGACTACTCACTGGTCACTGGACTGCATCAGTTCTATAAGGTCAGAGAACAGTACGTCTCGATTCCTCTCACAGAAGCCACTGACATCATAGGAGACCTGGAGGTGGAGGGAGACAGCGTTGAGGATGAGAAGCATAGAGTTTCATGTGTGGATGTGAGGGCAGGTGGCCTGTTCAGGGCCAAGAGGACTGGGGTTATGTGCAGTTAGAAGAAATGTGATTTCAAATGGTAGGTTGTAATCTATTGTTTGAGTCCTGGCTCCCCAGAAGTCTAATGTTCAACTGAAGCTGGAAGATGAAGGCTGGAGTTGGAGGTAAGGGGAGATGCCCAGGTTGATGGTCAGGGCTGAAGTTTTGATCAGTAGCAGGGAAAGGTGGGAAGTCATAGGCCAAATTCGAGGGTAGGGGACTGAAGCTAGGACAGGTCCCTGGGTGCTGCCAGTGAGATTAGGCTGGATATTTGTCTTAGTATGTGTGCAGTCCTGAAGTTGATGTTGGCTGTCTTCCTCAGTGACTCTCCACCTTTGTTGGTGTTGGGGTTGGGGGAGTCAGGGTTTCTCACTGAACCTAGAACTTGCTGATTGGCTAAACTGGCTGGCCAACAAGTCCCAGGCTAACCTGGCTGGCCAATCCTGTCTCCAGGCTGCCAGTGCTGGAGCAAGCCACTGTGTCTGGTTTTTATGTGGGTGCTGGTGGGTATCTGGATTCTGGTCCTCATGCTTACAATTTACTGATCTATCTCCTTAGCTCCCAGAATATTTTTGTTTATTTGTTTGTTTTTGAGACAGGGTCTCACTGTGTAGCCCACCTGGCCTGGAACTCACTTTGTAGGCCAGGCTGCCCTTGAATTTACAGAGATCTATCTGCCTCTGCTTCCAGAATTCTAGAGTTAAAGGCATATGTCACCATGGGCTTTATATATATATATATATGTTTATTTTGGGTTTCTTCTCTCTCTCTCTCTCTCTCTCTCTCTCTCTCTCTCTCTCTCTCTCTC